CTGATTTTTTGATGTAGGCACTTAGAGCAAAAGCTTCCCTCTAATGACAGCTTTCAGCATGTCCCAGAGGTTTTGTTGTGTCCCATTGTCCTTTTCATTTATCCAGGAATACTTTTATTTCTTTCTTAATTTCTCTTTTGACCCATTCATCATTCAGAGTGTGTTGTTTAATCTCCCTGTGTTCATGTGGTTACTGGGGATTCTTCCAGTGTTGATCATAAGCTTTATTGCATTGTGGTCTGGTAGAATGCATGGAATTATTTCAATCTTTTTGTATTTGTTGAGCTTTGTTTTGTGTCCCTGTGTATGGTCGATTTTGGAGAAGGTTCCATGGGTGCTGAGTAGAAAGTATGTCCTTTGGTGCTTGGGTGGAATACTGGGTAAATGTCTGTTAGGTCCATTTGATATATGGTATTGTTTAATTCAGATGTCTCTCTGTTAACTCTCTGACCTGTTGACCTATCTAATGGAGACAGTGGGGTATTGAAGTCCCCTACTATTATTGAGTTGTGATTGATCTGGGTCTTAAAGTTCTGTAGTATTGTTTTTATGAAGTTGGGTGCACCAGAGTTTGGTGAATATATGTTCATGACTGTAATATCTTCTTGGTTTATTGTTCCTTTGCTCAGAATGAAGTGGCCATCTTTATCTCCTCTGATTAGTTTTAGTTTAAAGTTTACTTTGTCAGATATTAGAATTGCAACGCCTGCTTTTTTCTTAGTACCATTCGCCTGGTATATTTTTTCTATCCTTTCACCTTAAGATAGTGCCTGTCCTTGAAAGTGAGATGAATTTCTTGAAGACAACAAAAAGATGGGTTTTGTTTCTTAATCCATTCACCTAGTCTGTGTCTTTTGACTGGGGAGTTCAGTCCATTAATATTTAAAGTTATTAATGAAGATAGGTATTGAATCCTGTCATTTTTATTTCTATTCACATTCTTGATATAGTTGTACTTTTCCACAGTTATACATACCTTCATTGAATTTCTTTCCGCAACCCCTTGGGTATAGTCATTCCTTTCTTCAGCTCTTTGTATTTCTTCCAGAATTCTCTGAAGGGATGGTTTTATGGACATGAGTTCCTTCAGCCCATTTATGTCTTGGAAGATTTTTCTTTCCCCTTCGACTATAATAGACATTTTAGCTGGGTATGGTAATCTGGGTTGGCATCTGTGGTCATTTAAAACTGGGAATACTTTGGTCCAGGCTCTTCTGGCTTTCATAGTTTGCACTGAAAAGTCAGCTGTAATCCTAATAGGTTTTCCTTTATATGTGACTTCTTTCTCTTTTGAAGCTTTCAGTATTGTCTCTTTATTCTGTATGCTTAGGGTTTTTACTATGATGTGCCATGGAGAGTTTCTTTTCTGGTCCTGTCTGTTTGGTGTTCTATATGCTTCTTGTATTTGTATGGGCATGTCTTTCTTTAATTTTGGGAAATTTTCTTCTACAATTCTGTTGAAGATCTGGTCCATGCCATTATCTTGGGATTCTTCTCCTTTCTGTATGCCTATTATTCATAAGTTTGTTCTTTTTATGGTGTCACAATTCTTGCATATTCCTTTCTTGTGCTTTCTTAAGTTTTTCATAATCTTTGCTTTAGTGGTCTAGTTTTTCCACTTTATCTTCCAATCTTGATATTCTGTTTTCCATTTCATTCATCCTGTTGTTGAGGCTTTCTTCTGTCATTTCTAATTGGCTTACTGAGTATTTCACTTCCTTCTTCATTTCAGCCTGAGTATTCTTCAATATTTCTAACTCTTTTCTAAATTCATTCAGAAGTTTATCCCTATCTTCCTTCAGTTCTTTGATTTCTTTGTGTGTTCTTTAAATTCACTGAATTCTTTTATCATGTTAATAATTGTTCGAGTTCCATGCCCTGCATTATCT